ATAAACATTCATATTCTTTCTAGTTTTTATTCCCTGCTAAGTTCTATTGGACTATATATTAATGATTCTATGAGACTGGGTAAAGGAGAAGCTGAGAAAACAAGATGGCAGCATTAATTATATTTTTGTTTGTTTCTTGTGTAACTGGTATTTTTTGTTCATTTGTTTTTCTTTTCAAGAGACTATTTTTTAGAGCGGTTTTAGGTTTTTAGAAAAATGCCAAGGTTGGCTGCTTCAGGAAGAAGCTGAACATCTCTCTCTTTCCAGCCACTGGCTGCCAGAAACTCATGGAAGTGGATGATGAACGCAAACTTCGTATCTCTTATGAGAAGCGTATGGCCACAGAGGTTGCCGCTGCCCGGCTGAAGTGGCTTCATGGTTGAGTGTTGACCTATGAACCAGGAGGTTACGGTTCAATTCTGGGTCAGGGCACATGCCCGGGTGGTGGCCTCAATCCCTAGTGTGGGGTGTGCAGGAGGCAGCCGATCCATGATTCTCTCTCATCATTGATGTTTCTCTCTCTCTCTCCCTCTCCCTTCCTCTCTGAAATCAATTAAAAAAATATTTAAAAATTAAAATAAAATAAAAAGAAAGAAGTTGCTGAGGATGCTCTGGGTGAAGAATGAAAGGGTTATGTGATTCAAAGCAGAGGTGGGAATGACAAACCAGGCTTCCCCAAGAAGCAGGGTGTCTTCACCCACAGCTGTGTCTGTCTGCTGCTCAGGGGTGTTCCTGTTATAGAGGATGATGAACGCAAACTTCGTACCTTTTATGAGAAGCGTATGGCCACAGAGGTTGCCGCTGCCCGGCTGAAGTGGCTTGATGGTTGAGTGTTGACCTATGAACCAGGAGGTCACGGTTCAATTCTGGGTCAGGGCACATGCCCGGGTGGTGGGCTCAATCCCCAGTGTAGGCAACCAATTGATGTTTCTCTCACATCAATGTTAACCAATCAATGTTTCTCTCTCTCCCTTTCTCTCTCTAAAAAATATTTAAAAATTAAAATAAAATAAAAAGAAAGAAGTTGCTGAGGATGCTCTGGGTGAAGAATGAAAGGGTTATGTGATTCAAAGCAGAGGTGGGAATGACAAACCAGGCTTCCCCAAGAAGCAGGGTGTCTTCACCCACAGCTGTGTCTGTCTGCTGCTCAGGGGTGTTCCTGTTATAGACCCAGGAGGACTGGACAGAGAAAGTGCAGATCTGTTCAGGGCTACGTTGCAGATGCCAAACTCAGTGTTCTCAACTTGGTCATTGTTTTAAAAAGGGGAGAAAGATGTTCCTGATCTCATGTCGCCTGGGGCCCATAAGAATCCGGAAACTTTTCAATCTCGCTAAAGAAGATGATGTCTGCCTATATGTTGAGAGACAGCCCCTAAACAAAGAAGGCAAGGCCCTGGCCAGTGTGGCTCAGTTGGTGGAACATCGACCCATGCACTGAGCGGTGGAGGGTTCCATTCTGGTCAGAGCACATGCTTGGGCTGTGGGCTCGATCCTCAGTGGAGGGCGCGTGCGGGAGGCAGCCAATCGATGGTTCTCTCTATGGATGTTTGATTCATGTTGCTATCCTCTCCCTTTCTTCTCTTTCTAAAAAAATCAATAAAAAACATATTGAAGAAGAAGGAGGAGGAGGAGGAGGAGGAGGAGGAAAGAAACCTCAGACGAAAGCACCCAAGATTCAGTGTCTTGTGACTCCCAGTGTCCTGTGACTCCCAGTGTCCTGCAACACAAATGTCAGCGTGTTGCTCTGCAGAAACAACATCCTAAGAAAAAGAAGGAAGAGGCCACAGAAAGGCTGAAGAAAATGAAGAAGGCCAAAGAAAAGATTTGCCCCGAGTCTTCTCTGAGAGCTTCTACCCCTAAGTCCAATGCCAGTCAAAAATGAGACCTTTCTAAGGGGAACAAATACATAAGAACAATCATCAAATCTCAAAAGAAAAAGAAGAAAAAAGATAAATTTTTAAATGCGATTATTGGTGATGCAGGATCTTCCTTTCAGGATCCTAGGTTATATGCCCAGGAGAGTTTACAGTATTGCCCCTTTTGCATGCGAAAAGAGCGATACCTGAATACATAGTCTCTCTTTTAAAAAATCAGTTTTGTCTTGAATGTTTCATTCTAGGATTTTCCTCTCTGATAAAAAACACGTTTATTCAAAGAGTACTGGCTTGGCCCTGACCGGTTTGGAAGGATCTCTGAAATCCAAGGCTAGGGACTGACCCGCACCGCAAGCTGGCTGCCTCTCCTGGTAAATGCCTAGGAGTAAACGCCTCACCCCGCACCGGTTGGAATCATATAGATCCTCCTCTGGCACAGGTGAGGGGCTTCGTGGAGAAGCAGTTTGTGGTTGTCTGAACTGGGTACCAGGAATTGGCTGCCCCAGTTAGTAACCTGTCCTGACACTTTTTGGACTTCCCAGGCTAATCTTAAAGCAACTTGCCGGACTGACTATTTTAAAGAAACAAGGATGGGGCTCTGCACCTAAAGGAAAACAAAACTGGCCCTGGCCGGGTAGCTCAGTTGGTTAGAGCAGTTTTCCTGATACCCCAAGGTTAAGGGTTCAATCCCTGGTCAGAGCATATATAAGAATGAACCAATGAATGCATAAATAAGTGGAAAACAAATTAATGTTTCTCTCTCTTCCTTCCTCTCTTTATCTTTAATATCAATCAATAAAAATTTTTAAAGAGGAGAACAAAAGCAATTTGTGACCCTTTCAGGATCATACAGACTCATTTACAGCCTCATTTACAAACAAAGTCTAACTACTCCACATGCAAACATAACATGCATCTGATGCAAAACATCTCAGGTGGCACTTTGGGCTGCCTCTTTTAAAATATCTCTGAAGTTGCCCTAGCTGGTTTGGCTCAGTGGATAGAGCATCGGCCTGTGGACTGAAGGGTCCCAGGTTTGATTCCAGTCAAGGGCATGTACCTGGGTTGCGGGCACATCCCCAGTTGGGGGGTGTGCAGGAGGCAGCTGATTGATGTTTCTCTTTCATCAATGTTTCTAACTCTCTATCCCTCTCCCTTCCTCTCTGTCAAAATCAATAAAATATATATTTAAAAAAAATATCTCTGAAGCAAAGAAAGTGACTGGTTGAGCCTGATATCCTCTGGGCTTTGGCCTTTACTCTGAAGGAACATGTAATAGATCTCCTAATGTTCTTGGTAGGAGGTCAAAGAGTGTATGGCATTTTAATTTTTAGAATTTTTTTATATTTTATTGATTTTTTATAGAGAGGAAAGGAGAGGGATAGAGAGTTTGAAACATCGATGAGAGAGAAATATCGACCAGCTGCCTTCTGCACACCCCCTCCTGGGGATGTGCCAGCAACCAAGGTACATGCCCTTGACTGGAATCGAACCTGGAACCCTTCAGTCTGCAGGCCGACGCCCTATCCACTGAGCAAAACCGGCCAGGGCGGCATTTTAATTTTTTACTTCACTTCTGGCTTTTGTCATCACTGAAGGATTAATTCCTCAACCCTTTTCTCAGGCCAGGATAAATTGCGATTAGGCACCATGCTAAAAATAA